CGGCGTCGGGTATGCGTTTCGCAACATAGTTGATAATTCCCAGGAACTGGCGGACCTGTCTGGGATCATCGGGCGGTTGTACAGCATTTATTGCCTAGAAACGATCCGGAGGTATGGCGGTGCCATCTTGGCTGACGATATGACCAAGAAATCTCACTCGTGATTGGCATAGCTGTAGCTTCTTGCGATTCTGCTTGAGTCCAACCTTTCGACATCTGCGTAGAGAAGTCTCGAGGTGATTGTCGTGCTCTAGTTTTGTTTTGCCACAGAAGAGGAAATCATCTACACAATTCATGATTCCTTTGAGATCCGTGAACAGCGTGTGTATGACCTCCGAGAACCTTTCGGAGGCATCCACTATGCCGAACGGGAGTCTTTTGAATCGATAATTTCCCCCTGGCATCGCGAAGCTGCGTATCTCGCTGGACGCCTTATCGAGTGGGAGGTGCCAAAACGCGGCATCACCGACAACGACCGAGTGGAATCGAGCACCCTGTAGCTGCATGAACAGATCTTCTGTGACGGGTAGGGGAAATTTCCGTCGTTGGATGAACGGATTGATGTACCGTGGATCAAGACAAATTCGATATGATCCATCGGCTTTGGCTACGGTTACCGGAAGAACACACTCCGGAGGGTCGTTGGCTTTTTCTATGACGACTTTCTTCTGCATTTCCGTCTTTTTTTATGGATTTTTCTCTGTACGTGATGGGGATTCGCTTCGGTGGGAATAACTTCGGCACTGGTTTGTTGTTCTTGGCGAGCGATATCGTTTGCTCACCGGGAATAACTCCGACTTTGCCATCGAATAGATCAGCGTGACGCTGGACGAGGGTGGTTTTTGCGTTTGTTGTCTCGTCATCAGCGGCGTCCACAGGATTCTTCTTGGAGGGGGGGCTAGATCGGGTCTTCGCACGGGACTGATTTCCAACATGGCGACCCGCTCCTATATCTTAGCATTACGAACCCTCAATCTGGGAGGGGGCTATAGCCCCCTAGCCCCCCCTCTGCGGACGCGCCTGCTCGTCATCAATTGCGTCGACATTGACCGTTCTCGGAATCTGTCGAGCGATGAGATTCAGCTCGAAGCATTCTAATAGACCGAGAATCGCTGGTGAATACGTGTGAACGATGTAATAGGTTACCGGAATGGTTTCTCGACCACCTGGTACGATGCACTCTGTCTCGGGACAAAACCAATGAAAACTCGAATCTTATGGTTTGACAATCTCGGTCGGTCCCGGAGACGCGCTGAACGCTCGTGTGCCTGAAGCGCTCGCTGTGCAACTGATATCGCGTCGACTCGGCGTGCCCGAGCTTGCACATGCACGTTCAGCTGCCTCCCGGACGGCCACTCGAGGAGTTTTATTCTTCAAACTCTGACTATGCGTCACACCTGGAATCTGAGTGGGAATCATGCACGTTCCCACCACTTTTAGCGAATGCGAGGAGAATTAACGGATGACTCTCGGGGTTGGGTGGATTGGGAACGGATATTTGATTTTCGATAGATGTTTCGATGGGAGCACACTCATCTGGGCGCCCGAATCCAACTTGAATGGGATTTTGACTCCGATGTGGTCGAATCCGAGCTCTTGCCACCATTGGCTCGGAGCTTTCTTCTGACGATGAGCGTGGTCGGTGATATCGATATCGAAGATTTCGAGCTGATCACAGTTGATATCCGACGACGATGTGTCCGTCGTCGTCGACCGGACTTCTTGTTCTTCTCCCTGATTGACAACCTTCGAGGGCGCTCCGTCTCCAGCGACCGTCGGCGTCGACCGGACTTCTTGTTCCTCTCCCTTGTTCTTGTCCCCATCCCGACCTCGGTCTTCTAGAGCGTGGACATCGCCAGAACATTATTAGCGCTCGTGACTTGTGACTTCCTCGAACCCGCCGCGCCGGCCGTAAGAATGAGAAAGACTTACAAGACCAGCTATGGACGCCGAATTGTGGCACCATGACTCCGGTAGCTGCCGTTCTTTATTTGGTAGACATTTCTGAATAAATTATCTCGGTTTAGGACTCTTGGCACTTGACACCCATGTCTCTCCGTCTCCTATAATCGAGCTAGAGACTTTGAAACACAGATTGAAACCGACTAGATGTACGCACTCGATTGACGATCTCCCATTCGACTCTAACTCGTTTACGAAACGCACAAGCCGCTCATTGAGGACCTGAATTGGCGTAGAACTACGCCATTGCGCTCACTCTTGTCGACAAATGCTACGGAAATGACGTCAGCGGAAGAGTGACCCGCGAACATTTAAACGTTAGAATCAGAGAGTGACACCCAACGGGAACTACGTTAGTCAAGGAACCACCCACCAGGAATCTGAATCTGCACACGATCACGTGGCCCCCGTCGATCACACCCACCTTCACCGACCTTCACCGAACCTCTATGATCTTAATGTCTACCGATGGGATCTGGACCTTCAGTAGCTCCAGACGCAGAAATCCATCGCCCATGGTCAGATTTCGGAGAACAGAAAACGATCGGATCGGTTGCGAAATTAGGGGAGCATCGTGCGACAATATTGACGTTACGCGGTCTTCGAGAAAACTGGACACCTGTGTACAAAAGGACAGGTACCTTCCGCTTACCGACAAACAAAGGCATCAGATTCCGCCGAATTAATTTTCCCCTGACTCTAGCACGCGCCATGACCACTCACAAGGCCCAAGGTGCTACCTTTGATAGCGTGGTCTCCGAATACTCATGATCAGTCCAACAACAATTAGTTTATGTCGAAAATACAGATATTGTGCTCATGAAGGCGACCATCATCTGTCTTGTTGAAACATGGTGTCAGAATGATCACGAAGTACCATTGGACTCTTCCCGCCTACTGACGCAGAATAATCGAGGGTTGAGATCCGGCGGCGTGGCGATCTACGAGGAAATTGACACTGAGAGAAATTTCCATCCCATCCCAATCCAAACAATTCTGACTGCAATCGATTGCGGTGACATCTGCCACGCGTATTCGAAAATCGATAATCAAATGACGACACTTGTCTGCCTTTATATAAGCCCGAACTCCACCCTCGAAGAATTCCTCATTAAACACATGCAAATCATAGACCCACCTCATCCAAGAATAAGGAGTCCCTTATCATTTATCATATGCGGGATTCCAACCTGGATATGAGAAATTCCAAACTCAGAGACCAATTGACAACCTTAATGCACACAAACTTCGATTTAGATCTCATCTCCGACCCAGATCTAGAACTAACTCAAATATGTCCATGCATCGATCTCATATTCACGAGACGCGCCCATCACCAGCAGATAATCAACCACATAGCCTGCTTCAGCTATCACCAGCCAATATTCACAATCTTCTAATGAAGAAAGTCCCGAGACCACGGAACTTGAAGGTTTGGCTCAGCCGAACCCACCTGAAGCTTTTTTCATTGGAGCAAGCTTTTGCCTGTCCCTCGGTAGAAGCATGTGGGCATTGAACCTGGCCTCCTGATCCTTCAGGTGCTTAATCATCTCGAAAATTCTACGTGGCTCTTCCGGACGACCCGGTTATGCCCCTGATGCCAACCCTCAATGTGATTGGTAGTTCTCGCGCCGAAGTTCCTCTAGTGATTCAATAGACGCCTGGGGTAAACCGATTCGTTTCCAAGCCAGGTGTCCATAAAGTATTCGTTGAAGCCCTCAATTGCTTCATGGGCTGGTGTTCTACACCAAGTGATTCGCTCTCTATTTCTAACGAAGCGTCATCGATCCTGTGCCGCTGCACAGGATCGAATCAGTTTCTTGACGCCAGCTTCGTCGTAGTACGAGCTGAGTCACTTCAATGGCTTCGAGAACCGATGCTCCGAAATCTAATTGGAACGTGATAGGATCAAAACTCTTGTTGATTGCCGCCGCGTAGTTCTTCTGGAGCTCGAACATTCGACAGTATGTTTCTCGCCGCTTATCTGGGAGAAGGAAGTAAATTATCTTCCCCTATAAAAAGCGTACAAGGAATAAAGCTGGAGGAAAAGACTTGGAACCACACGGAATGGTCCATCCATGTAAACTACTGGCGATATGAGCCACTAATGGGAGCAAGGTGGTCGTCACGAATTGATCCATGCCTGTTCTGCATTTGCCGAACAGTCGAAACGAGAGTGGTATCGTACACCTCTTCGACTAATCTCTCAGGCTTTTCAAGGACGGCCCGCTTCATTTTCGAGTGGCTGGACCGCTTCGGGAAATAGCCTTGATCGACTTCGTTGGTGTGAATTCCACTCTGCGGAGCATTGCTCTGGCCGAGCAAGCTCCCTTTCACTTCCTGATGCATCTACAGTAAAACAGATCTTGAGCATCGAGCGTCCGACATTTGTGACCTCTCGATCGTTCTGTCGAGATCGAAAATATCAGCAGTCGGGATAATAAGCTCGTGAGGGAGAGTTCCTCCAAATGGTACCCGTTCCAGAGGCACGAAGAATTTTTTCCTAGGAGGAAGGAGGGGGGCGATTCCAGCTTTGAATGGGACCGAGCTGATGACGCGCCTTCTCAAGGTCCATGCTCCAGCATAGGAACCCAAGGCGTCCCCCCAGTGCGGGCCTCTGCCGTTCTTTCGGGCACGTTGAAGCTGACTCGCCTTCAAGTTCCCGGAAATTCGCGACGGATCATAGCTCCATCATGATTTCATGATCAATGAAAGCCTTGAGTGGACGCGGAAATGAAGGAGCTGCGCTGCCGTAGGGAACGATCTGCGCAGATTCTTCCTGACCCAGCAGGATACGACGTGATCGGAGCATCGTCCATCGGACAAGAAGATGGGTAGTCGAAGAAATTGTAGAACCGCCCGATCGCTTGCAGATTATTAGCAGAGATCACCATCCTCATTCACCTCTTCTCTCCCAGCACCCTCACAGCTCACAGAAGATATTGATTCTCTTCAATCATTGCTTCTCGTATACATCTCGAACGGGTCTCTAGGAGACTTGAGATCGTTCAGCTTCCAAGCCCTCGCACAATCCAACAAGGACCATATCGTTGAGGATGTCACGTCGAATTTCTGGTCTCCAGTGAGCTTTCGGAATATCACTGTTCTTGTTTGGCTGAGGTGAATACGCGCAATGTGCTCTTCTTCGCACACAGAGGGGCTCCCCCCATCATATGCCTACGGAGTTTCACATGTTTGGTGATGGAACGCTGGCTGTATACCCCGAGCGACTCCTCACCGGCCTTTCGTACTAAACGAACCCGCCGGGCACCGGATTCAGGCAGAATAAATATGGATCGTGTACAATAGTCTCTCTGCCCGAGAAGCGCACCCGGTATTCTGCCGAGTGCGAGAGGGCAAGCTTCTAATTTCTCACCTCTCGAGGGAACTCTTCCCCGAAACTTCATGTGAAATGGCGATGAGAGTCGTCTACTCTCTTCCGGAACGGTTATGAGAGTATTTCGTGCACCCCTTCGCCAACGACGCACCAATGAAGATAGAACAATATTTTACTCGGTGGACTAATTCGAAACCGAGCCGCATAATCGGTCTGCTAAGCAATGCTGAATTTTTCCAGTGGCAGCTGTTATGAGGTTCCGCCGTTACAAATAACACATGACTCCTCCGACGACGCCTACTGTGAGTCTAAGCAACTTCGCCCGGATCCCCTGGCCGTCGAATTTTAGCCAAATAGAACAGCAGCGTCGCACGGAACGGTGGTCGCGTGATTTCGGGTGATTTCGGGAGATCCGCGAGACTTGAGATCCCGTGTTCTAAGCAAAATGGTTCTAAGTCGCCAGAATCAGAGCGAGCCAAAGATACTTCTTCGGTGTATTTCGTGGCTGGCTGCGTATCCGGATTCCTCACACGGTGCATATGTCAACCTTTCGATGTCTTGAAGATTCGATTTCAAGTAAGTACTCGTTAGCGCCATCCGGACCATCCGAGCTGCATGTACAGAATCCTGTCCGTCTCGAAACCGCGCTCGCCTCCAGCCATTGACCGCTCCTCTGGATCAAAGTCTCCCTCTCTGTGAACAGCTCCAGCTGGATCCGATAACTGTCAAGTGTGATTCCGCGAAATACTCGGGAATTAAACAAGCAAGTCGCCTGATTCTACGTGAGGAAGGTTAGTAGCTACGTACCTCCTCTCAAAAGCTCTTCGGTCGATGAGTTCCGATTTGATTCGTAGTCTCCGTGAACGTCCACGCCCTTGCTAGCTGGAGGAGGAGTAGGACGGGGTTTCAGCGGTGCTTCTGATAAGTCAACAAGTTTCGACTTCTAATGAGGTCAAGTCCATGAAGAGTTCCGGGTAGAAGTTAAGAATTTCGGGCATTCTGGGACTTCAACACATTGGTGTTATTAGGAACCCGCTCAAGGAGTTCGCGGAACTTTGATCGATTCGGAGAGAAAACGAGTGCTGGATTTTTTTTTCAGGTATCACGGCTTTCTGGAAAGGCCACCTACCCGCGCAGACGCTAAGCGTGGTCTATGGAGGGATTCAATTTTACGGGTATGAGTTTTCGAAGAATTGGCTATTCCCGGACCGCAATGATTTCAATTCGAATTTCATCAGGTAATTACATTTACGGAATTGTGAGTCGATGTTGATAGATTTACGGTAGAGGTTGAAAACTCCTATCCCCCGCACTGTCGTGTGTCGGAGTCCCGAGTCCCGACCAACTAGATCGCCGCCTAGGAATTCAAGATCCAGGGTTTCTGGGGAGGACTCCTGTCATATCATCGAAGGTTGTTGGATCTCTTTTCAGCGCGGAACATAGAACTAAGCAACAAGTAGTTTCGAGGTGGCAGCCAGCTTCCGTGATCCGGCTGGTATGTCGGCTCTGGAAACCTTACTGAAGGCGTATCTTCCAGCGGAGCGCTTGGGGGCGGCACCGCGATGGCGGTGGCCCATCCCCTGGATGTCATAAGGACGCGGCTCATAGCTCAAGGTGAACCGAAGACGTACAATGGAATGTTCGATGCAATGAGGACCATGAAAAGAAGAGAGGGTCCTCGCGCCTTCTACAAGGGCCTTCTCTCCAATTTGCTCCAGGTAGAAATGGTGAAATCGATCAATGTGGATGTTTTGGGGGTCTTGGTCTACGAGTCTCCGAGTATTGACTCCAGCTGATCACCTCCAGGTGACTCCATACAATGGAGCTTGTTTCGCGTTCTATCATTTCTTCCGAGGACTTCTCGAAGACGTTCCCTACGCGCCCGCGAATCTACTCTCCGGCGCCTTGTCAGGATTTGCAAGTAAATCACTTGTTTATCCTTTCGACCTTATCAAGAAGCGTTTACAGGCAAGTCTTCGAAAAATGGAAGCCAATCAGGCTCGGAAGTCGAGGATTGTTTTCCGAAGAATTACCATTAGCATTACCATAATATAGAGATGAGACGCGACGCCCGAACGTTGATCTACATCTGCGTCATTTTTCGAATGACCGTACGTCCTTCGCAGGTTCAAGGATTCATGGACCGCTCGCATAGATTTGGCCATTACAACGGCCTGATGAATTGTGCGAAATCTGTGTTAGCCTCAGAAGGTATGAAAGGATTCTTCAAAGGATATGTGCCCGCTTGCATGAAAGCCATGGCGATGTCGGCGTGCCAATTCACATTCTATGAGGCAGCCATTTTCGGCTTAACGACCCCTTTAACGGATCGGGGAGATCCATAGCCTCGGTCGGAATAGATCGTTCAGGGATGAATCCATCCTTCAAACTTTTCTCTGTGCTGAAGTCTTGGGTCTGGAGAATCCGTGGATCGACGAGATACTTTAAGAGCCTCGCACCTAGTTGGGCGGGATACCTGTCTGAGCGAATCAGACTTAAGACCTTGGAGTCGTCACTTTGAGCGGCGAAAGAATGTTGGTTTGGAGACGACGCGTCCCGAGAAATGAAGGGAAATAAATCGAAGGGAATCCTCCGAAAGAGGCGAACCCATGATATCTGAGCTTAAAGCTGATATACATATTCAATCATTGTGTTTGAACTAGGACATGACCACCATGGATCTATGTGGAGAGAGCGCTTGATACCAACGCCTATCGGTTCTGTGAACTTATCGATTCCAGGACGCTTGACTCATGTCCGCACCACCAAAAAGACGTCTCCGAAGCTCCTCATGATTTTTTGAAAGCCGACCACTTTTGCTGATTTCTGAGCAGGACTGAGACGAATTGAACGAGGATTATTCGGAGAGTAGGCCCGGTTTCACGAATGCCCCTCACAAGCGCACTGTACCCCAGGCTCTTGTGATTATGCTCTCTGAATTGCGTGCCGGTCTCGCAATTGTCCCCATCGCTGGCTAATTCGGTCTCGGTCGTCCACAGCGTGCTAGCGACGTCGCGTCATGGACTCACTGGCGGTTTCGAGACTCGAAACCCTCCCTGCAGGTTCGCGTCCTCTTGCCGATCCCGGGGAGATCTGTTGGAGAACGAAACCTGTGATTTCGTCACAAGATTGTACGGTGTCCGAATCAGCTTGCTCATACGATGGCACTAATATCCGCCACGGGAAGAGCTCGAACAACTTGTATCAGCGAGAGTCGTACTCCGTTCAGAAGAAGAGCCCATTTTGCAAACTCGTCAGCATATGTAGGATGCATATGCAGGATGCAGTATTCCCCCTGAGGTACCTATGGGGACTATTTCCGTTCTGACTCGGGGGCCCACGTGGTACGAATTGATGGCAACGAGCTAAGTTGGCCGTATTCTCGTATGATTTCACTATCCATTCGCATGGAGGCGATTCTCCATGCTAAGAGCGAACGATGGAACTCGTTCCGAAGGCAGAATCTGACTTTCTATGATCCGATGCAGGAATGTAGGAGGGTCTCCTGAGGAAGCGCGCAATATTCTGCTGTCTCTTCATCTTGGGGCTCTGATGCTACGAGGGAAAAGTGCCTCTAACTTGCAAGACGCCCCAAATCTCTCCCAAGAAGCTCAACTTTCCAAATGCATCTTTACCCACGACACGTAGACAATTCCGCCTGAGCTTGTTCCATCACCGTGACGATAAGACAGAGATTGATGTACCCCAACTGGCCGCGACCAACTCTCCGTGACCCAGCTGGCCGTCGGTGCGACCGACCAGCTAAGAGTGCCTGGTTCCCGCTTAATTCGCCTAAATACCTAACGGTTGTGGGAGCATACACCTTTCAGATTGGGAACAACAATCTTTTTGGGCGTTCGAAAATTAGTTTCCGAAGGCATTTATCAATCCGAGTTCGAATTCTAGAGATACCTGCGTTGGATTGGAGCGGCCATGCCGTACGAAGCAGCTCAATCATTCGCGAGTAGGTAGCTTGACCCCCTCGAGCGAGAGAGCATAGCAGATCGGGAAAACAAACCCAGAACATTTCGCGAGAATGACGGATATCTGCTGAAAGAGTTTCGGCGCCAAGCTGAAAGTACCGTCGACGTAGGTTTTATCTACGAAACCGATCCAGTCGGCGGCGGATTCACGACCGGAGATAAATATACTGTATCCGTCGCTGAAGCCTGAATCCACGACAATAAACTTCTTCAAGCGTCCCGCTTCTGCCTTGTATACCGAATACTGGTCTGGAATCATTATCGAACTTCAATCGGCTGGAAGAGCGGGGGCGCCTTACGCACGCCTTACGCACTGGATTCAAACTCTTTGCTTGGACGCAGTCCGACGGAGATCGTATGGACCATTCGTTCTGCCTCGACATTACTACGCGGCATCCGAGGCGCGCGACGCAGATGAACGATGTTGAAAGATTGACTCAGGCTTGCGGACACCCGTGAAGTAAACTGACCGACGTTGTCAGTCACCACAGTTTCGAGAGGACCCATGAGTCGAGAATGCGTTTTGAGGTAACTCGGCACCTCGAAAATGGAGACGGCCGTCATCCAAGCGGCGCGGCATTAACGAACTTGGGAAACGTGCCTACGATCACAGGAAAAGCTTCGAGACTTCGGCCGGAGGCCGCGATCACGATCGCGGATAAAGGGAACGATGAACGCTCTACGGAATGAAATCCGTGCCTTTCGAACCACAATAGGAGGACAGCGTACCTCAGTACCGCATAGTGCCACATGAGTTTCGTGGTCAAGAAGGATGCTTTTTTCGACAATCACTGGGCGGAGGGGTAGAAGATTAGGAAGAAAACATCAACTCGCACACCGAGGCATGATTCCGCAACCGCCGAAGCATATGTGCGCGGAAATTGGTGGGGAGAAAGAGCCGAAAAATTGCTCACAGGCGAAGCGCTTCCGCTTTTCTTCTATAGGGGGGATATATCCCAAAAGTCGAAAACCTACAATAAATCTCGAGGAAAGTGCGTACGCATCGATAATTCTCACAATTTTTCATATTCCCATAGGCTAAATGGTTAAGGGCGATTTTGGGTCGGTCCGTAGAGACTCGATCGCCGCTCATGATGTTCAGGACCTCCATTGTTAGATGCCCTCAACGTCGCAATCTCTGGAGAACCTGCTGCAGTACAGGGTCTTTCCCGGTTTCCTCGCGAATCTTTGCCCCAAGTGGGTAAAAAAACTTGAGGGACCTGATGCCATTCGTATTCCCCTCATCCATTTTCTTGCTTGCTAGATGAGTCGCGATAGGACATCCGCGTAACCGAACTCCGCGGTCCGAATGTACTCGATGTCGGCATCGTATCCCAGCAGGCGTAGTGCCCAACGGCGCAGCCTGGCGGCCGTTTCATCGCTCAACCCCTTCGTCTGCGACGCCACAGTGGGAGATTTGTGCTCGGAACCTATTATTTCGATATTCTGAGAAATCCGTGCATTTAAGCATAGATACAGGGGTCGCCCGAGAATAGCCCAGCTCAAGAGCTCTCAACTTTTTTTGCTGAGTCGTCCCCAGCTGGTTGTGCCTGCGAGTAATCGGCCCTTGACCATGGGGGCATGTAACCTTTTACATCTAGCGGCATCCCGGGTGATGGAAATTTATCTAGACTCTCCGTCCTTTGGAGAGTCCGGCTGACCTCCTCCCCGCTGCAGTATGCGGCTTCAGGCTGTTTACGAGGCGAAAGTTTGAAAAGAGACGCCTTTTGGCCGCTATTCTGCGGAAAATCCTACTCGGTCCCGCGCGTACCGATTTCGACGAGAAGAATTGCATCCGACGCAGAATTTCATGGGCTTTCCGATGAGCCCCATATCGACCCGATCAGACCGATTATATTATCGTTAGGTCAAATCGTACAATCTGCAAATAAATGAAAATGCGGATTTGGACACCATTTTGAAGATTCTCTTTCTTGAAACAGGTTGCTCGTAGAGGGCCGAGCTTGGTCGCGTTGGAAAGCTGAGAGCCCCCGCTCATGTGGTTCCGCCCGATTCTAGCGCTAGATATCAATGCGCTGATATTGCTTGAATACATTGGAATCAATTATACTATGACCCGCCGAATTGTGGCGCCAATTGACGAATCGACTTTATTCTGTATCGGGGTCAAACTCCGGGACTCTCTCTAGAAGCTCCAACACATCCTCGTCACATTCTTCGTCACTCTGTTGCTGAAAATTAGCGGATCGGACGAGGCTATGATATGATATGCAAGATGTCTCCGTTTGTCGCCTCTCTACTTATTTTCCGCGAATTGAGTCTTGCCTCCCGATAGGCCTTATTTTGAACCTCTTGGGCTTCCTCGCCTAGCCTGCCAATTGGCAAGGAAGCCGCTCTCGCGATTTGAGGGCCGTGGATGAGAATCTTGTGGACCGTATTGGTCATGTGATAACTGATAACCGCTAGTGAGGGATGATAATGAATGTGACGAAGATGTGTTGGAGATCCTAGAGAGAGTCCCGGAGTTTGACTCCGAAACAGAATAAAGCCGATTCGTCAATGGGCACAGACTTCGGTCGTTTCTATTCCTCAGGAATGGAGTAGCTCTTCGAGGCTCCGCATTGGATTTCATGCGGGCCATAGTAATCGATTCCAATGTATTCCAGCATTATTAGCGCATTGATATTGTCGCGTTCCGATAACGAAGGTGGGCAACGATCGTTTCCTGTAGACTAGCACGGGCTTTTGTATAATAGAAGCAGATGGCGCTACGAGCGTCGCTAGTCGCGCTTCGCGCTATTCGGCCAAGCTACCGATATCGTTGTCCTCGTTCGAAAAGCTTCCGACGATTCTTATACTTTCGGGAACAGAAGTCCATGAAGTAGTAATGCAAACTCCGACCAGTCTTCGACAGCTGCGCTTTAGCATACGGGTCGAAACAATCAGCGGGCGTCAATCTCGACGCGCCGCCGTTTCTGGACTTCTCATCCGCTTGCTTGCTGTGAATATGTCGCCGTATTGGTCTTATTGAACGGATATTCCGGGCATCCACGATCTCATAGCGTGGTAAGTGGTGAGCTGTGTCGATCTTCACCATCTACTGAATGACATTCGACGATTCCACATGACTCTGATAACTCGGCGCGCGTGCTGCCGGACCTTATAGGACTCCTCCGCAACTGACAATCGAGGCAGCTCTTGACATACTCCCTCACACGGCGCCGGAGCCTTTTGCCAGGATCGAATCGCTCTCGTAAACGGCGCTCCGAGCCGCGGATCCCAGGGTGCTTCAGGTCTCCATCCATGTGGCATAACTTGATGATATCCTTACTCATTTATCCACGAACACATACGCGACCATCGCGATACAATAGACCTCTTTGAATAGAATACCTTCCAAGCGAATTCCCGTCCTCGAGGATCTTCATTTTACGGAGATAATCCCGGTTTCTGCTCTGCTCCCCATGAACTCTAGATTCAATGGGGCGCGTACACTCCGAGTCTCTCAATCCGTCGAGGTTCGATCGGATTCCGGGCTCGAGATCCACATCTTTCTTCGAGATGCCGATCGACGGTTCTCGCACCTCTATTTGGACGAATCTATCAGCAATTCTCATCAAGGATTTTAGGTCTTTCGGGCTTGCGGCGAGGACGAGATTCGCGAAGGAATATGAATCGCGAGATCCTCTGACCTCGTCGACGAGGTCCGCAAATTCTAATGGCATACCTAATTCCATCAAGCGAGACTGTTTCCTTCAGATGAAAGACGTGAACGGCTCGTCGGGGAGCCGCAGGCGAGCGAAGTATTCAGCAGGGGACCTTCTACTCCCCTCCGGGAATCGCGCTAGGAACTTATCCTTGGAACAAGTCCATGTCGATCGATTTCCTATTTCGGCGACGAACCAGGTCTTCGAATCTTCATCCAGTGTACAATAAGCCAGCTTGAGGACCTGTCCATCTGACCAACCGAGTACGTTGGCGCCTATTTCTAGTCGTCTTAACCTTTTCGTCGGTCTGGCGGGATACGGGATCGAATGCTGGCGAGGTGCTTACAGGTCTCCGAACCTCTAACAATGCTGCGAGGTGTTCCGTGCTAAACACGTGTTCTCTGAAAACTCCGTCGCCTGCCATGCCGCTGCCACCAAATGTAGCGTTCCGATAACGAAGGTGGACAACGATAGTTTATTGTAGACTAGAAGGGGCTCTTCACGAGCTTCGCTTCAATATCTAGCGCTAGAATCTGGCGGAAACACATGTGCGGGGGCCCCAGGAGCTAGAGCTCGCTCTCAACTTTCCAACGCGACCGCTCGTTCTCCTAAGGAACCGGCCTGGCGTAGTCGACTCCCGTGACCGTGAGAGCATGCGCTTTATCGATTCTGATTTCTGGGGGAGGGGCACCGGCTCCAACGACGCCGACGCTTCGACTCTGAACAGGGCCGTGCCCCGCGTCGCCGAACTGTTTTGTATCACATAGAAGCCTGGGATCGCATGCGAAGAAAGTTTCCCCGACTTCAATTTGCGGGACTGGTGAATCCATTAATCTGTACGATAAGTCTCGCTTCCAATAGGTATACAGTACTGACGAGGAGTTCGCCCTCAAAACGAGGATGTTTGCGGCATTGGCTTTCGTGCCACCGGCAGAGCTCAACAGCGCAGTCACCGAACTCGCGCCTCTCCTTCCGCCGGAGCTCACCCCCGTGCTCAATTATTTCGAGGACGTGTCTCTCGAACGGCTGAACAGGGTAGCCCCTGATGGAGCGATCGAGAGACGAGCGCCACGATTCCCGGTGGAAATGTGGTCCGTTCTCCAGAGGACACTGGATGGAGAGGCTCGAACCGACAACTATGCAGAAGCAGCCCATCGACGCATGCAACTCGAATTCGGAGTGAGCCACCCAACGCTATGGAAGTTCATTGATGGGTTGCGGAAAATTCAGAAAAACAGAGATTTCCAGATGGAGCAATATATCGGAGGCGCGACGGCCCCGAAGAAACGCAACACGTGTGTCGAGGCTGATAGGAAGATCCTAGAGGCGGTCAGAGACGCCTCAAACAGTACCGACGAGGAATATCTGCGAGGGGTTTCTCGGAACTTCTTTTTGGAGTCCTGATTCGCTGCGTCGCACTCCGCTTTCGAGGAATTGTTCGAAATTCGAATCACAGTGGTACTTCCGGGACAGCTTCACATCTACAGGGTTGTAGGTGTGTTGCGCCGAGAATTCGGAAAAAACTCTAGCTGGAGCACGAAAAATTGACGAGTATGCAGTGTTGGGCATAATCACAATACTGACTGAGACTATGAATAGAATCACAGCTTGAGAGCTATCCGCCCTCCTTCAGATTTATTCCAGGCTGGTCGACTCGACTGCGGAGGGATTCGCGGGGATTCGTTCATCTTAGAATTCTGTGGATCCGGATCCCCGAGTTTACGTACATATTGGGAAGAATCATTCAATAGAACGAGAGCTTCTCGAAGCACTCCGATGAATTTCACCTACATATTATGTCTTCACATTACTACTGGAGCTCGAGCGGCCCAGGGACACAAGTACCTACATACTGTCGAGTTTTTCGTAATCTAGACATCCCAGGAGCCGAGTCATGTGAAATATCCCCGTCATCCTAGTCACGAGAAGCGTGGGGCTCGTACGAGCATAACTTCCTGATATAGGGCGTCGAGATCCTCTAGGCTTCAAATTATTCGAGGTTTTCTGAGTTATCAGAGGTAATCAGCACATGCTACAGCTCAGCCAAGCCCTTCTGAATTACTTCAAAATATCAGGGATTTTATGAGTGAGAGGCTACGGAAGACTTCCGTGTATCGGGAGCCAATGCCCGCACCACGTGGACGGAAATGTGTGGGAACCCAGATCTAGCCACTACGACCATCATTATTCTACGGCCCGCTCGTCTCGGCACGCAGGCTTTGGGACTTCTCAGCTGCCATCGCAGAGCTGTCGCAGACTCAGCAAATTAGTTTCGCGGGTTGGGGTTCGAAGGCTCAGCTAGTAATGGACACCGATGATGAATCAGAGTACACAGTTTCCGGCGTCGAGGCAAAAACACAAGACAGGAATGAGTTATGCGGCTGCATGCTCCGGCGAGCGTGAGACGCGCGCTTGAAAGACGAGACGTGGGGAATCGCGAGAAGAGGGAAGAGGGCGGCGGCTGAGCTCCGAAACAGCCTTTACCTATATCCGGTACAGCTACGTACAGCGGCGTCCAGAGTCCGGAGGGCGCGGAGCATTTTACTTGCCGCCGCCAGTCTCCGGTTCATCCTCAATGATCCTGCGTGGGCCCGAGGCTGAGCTGCGCAGCTGCCAAGTCGGGGATATCAGAACTATAATACCTAATAATTACAACAGGAATCATAAGAACTACTAGCATGACGCTTCCCTTCTTGTTGGATGCCTGGAGTAATGCACCCCCTCATCAAATTATTATTGGTGTATGATCGTTGAGATACTCTCTGTTGTACCCGAGGCGGAATACGATCTTTGCCCGTACTGGCCGGATTCTCAGTCGGGGGGGGGGGGCGGGTTGGGGAGTTCGGCGCAAGACCTTATCTAGGCGGGAATTTCGTGAATCGAACGGTGGGAGTTGCCTCCCGCTTCTGACTGAGAGGTTTGCTCGTCAGAAAGAATCTCTGGCGAGGCATCGTTAAAGGAAATCCGCGGAACGTTTCATCCCACGAGTCGATCACTCAAATGGCGACCGCCGCTCGTGGCAATAGAAAATGGAGCTCCGATGAGCTGGACGAATTTTCGGCTCCGCAGCTGACTGCCGGTCCTTGTTGGCGCGGAACACGGGAGCCATTTCATTCAGCGGCTTTGCGGAAAAAGGCGAAGGCGAATTTCAATCGGAACTCACATCGACGATTCTGATCTCAAACGTGGTCTCACGTCCGGGGCGTATAACCGAAGGTCGAGGGCTGAGCTCCTTCCCAGCGCAGATTGCCGGAGGCCACAGCGAAAATTTCCCGGGCAAAACTTTCCGCCGATTCAATGGGGTGGTGAGTCGCCGCCGGACGTGATCGCGTCCGACCTCGATTGCGTTCGGTTGATTGATTGATTGATTTATGCTCCATTTCTATAAGAAACCCCGACTGCGGGGGCGTGATCGCTGGAGACTATGTGACGCTTCACACCTGGGGTGTGGGTGGCTTCGCCTCCCTTCACTCCCATCTTTCGAGAATCCGCTTAGTATCGTTAATGACTCGCCTGTCTGACTCCTCATGTAACCCAAGCCTTTTTTGAATCTCATCGTCACCGCATGTCTTTTCTTGGCATGCCATCAGGACGCGCTCCAGAGTTTCCTCCTGACCACAAATCCTGCAACTCGGGTCAATCTCTTCGAATCGTGACCTGAATTTCCTGGTTCTGAGGAAGCCGACTCTCGCTTGTGCGAGCAATACACTTCCTCGCGACGAGATTCGAGACAGCCAATAAACCGGAAAACAGAACTCGGAGCCGCGCAACGAAACGTGCCTTGCTTCCAACAGATGTAGTCTCGGGTGGCAATGAGCTGCCACCACCAGCGCCAACAACTTTACGCGCCTCCGATGGACAACTTGGTGAGCATACAATGTTGCCCCGAGCGCACGGTATCAATCGTTCCCTGAAGAACTCGCGTGGCTCTCGTTGTAGCCGACCTTGTTGGCCCGGAGCCGGTCACCAATGAGTATCATACACTATTCCCATTCGACCCAAACAAATTGAAATGAAGCTCATTCTTCGGGCTTGCGGCGATGCAGCTGTAGTGGGTGATTATAATGCATACGACGAGCCAGCCGTGTCACAGGCTGCTCTGATCCAGGCCAGCGCCATGGGGATTCACCTTCCGGAGTTCATTTCCGCATTGCGTCACGCACATGTCCAGCTTGCCTTCCGTTGTTGGTCGCTCGGTCAAAGTGAAGGCGGCAGCGACAGGACGGTGAATATCGAATCGAAGCTCCACTGCGATAATTGAACGCGGAACGGAGGACCACGCAGCCTGCGATCGGAGAATAGCGGGGCGCCGTGACGGTGCCGTTTCTAGCGGGTAGTCTCTTGCTTCTGTTCATCGTTCATCGAGTCAAGCGCAAAGCTAGCAGAAACGACAGACGAGCTTTCCCGAACAACACAAACAGCTATATGAGTCGTCCTTTCGTTGGCGGGAGTCTTTTGCTGGCAGACGATGATTATTCATCCTCAAGTGCCGCTTTTGACACTCTCACGTTTCGTCGTCTCGTGTACCACAAACACCGAGAAGATTTATTGAAGGTCCGGACATTATCCTGCACTAGGCGCGTCGTGCGTCGTATCGCGGACGGAAGGGCGGGCGCGAAAATTTAAAGAGCCATCCCTGAGAGTCTTTTTCGAATTTCCGAGAATCAGCCCGGAGAGGGATCGAACTCTCGCGGAACTCGCCTGTAAGGGAGCGAGCCTTGCGGCGGGGACTCGTCGAGGATCGGGATCGCCTATGCATATTCCTCCGAGCGCCCTCATTGGTGCTGATCCCGCCCATTATGAACATCGATCTCCGACACGAGAAGGAGGTTGCCTACCCTAGAAAAACGGCGAAAAACATTTCTCGCTCGGAGGATCCATTCGGGTTGAGGAGGCGTCGGCGTATGAATGGAGAGAGACCTCCAGATAACTAGCGGGTGCCCTCGCAACACATCCGCCCAAGGGAGCGGGGTCGACGCAACAACTGTTCTTTTGCTCGCAGGACTCAGAGCTGAGTTGCCCCCGACCGTCTCCCATGTGCTCCCACGGCGTCAGCGTAGCGGTCGAATTCACTCTTTATCGTCATATTCTCCGAACGATGGGACACAATGTCGTCGGCAGAGTTGGACTACTCGCCACATCTCGCCTGTGCGGAGAGTGCAAACTTACATTACGACGCCCCGGCGGAGCCATCTCAGCATCGTCCCCGACTCCGTCCGTTAGTTAGTAACTCCGACGTCGGCGGATCCTTGCTCTCAATCCCGCGGTTCCCTTTTCATTGTTCCGCGATTGGGCTCTTCAACTTTCCCGGTCGAACGAAAGATTGTTTTTCCCCAGGTACTTGCGAGCACTCGAGCGCCGAAAACCGCTTATTTGATGACGGCGTATGACGACTCAGTTTCTCCGTGAGCGAACGGACGAGAAGAGCGACATTTCCTATTTTATCCAAGTAAGGAAGACTCTAAACAGATCAACGATTATTAGATCCGCTTTATTAATATATCGCCGAAAGGTATGAAAGTTCGGAGCTAATTGTAAGTTCTTCAACTTCTCGGAAAATTCCCGTCAAACATGTGCATGACTTGGAATGACTCCGAGCGGGATGTTCCCTAGTGTCACCCACTTCTTAGGAGAAGAAATCCGTTTCGGTTAAAGCTGATCTTTTTTGATTGGATCGAAGAGTTCGAGCCCGGTCAGTCGCGATTTTATCGGGGGCTATCCTCCAGGACCGAACGCGGAAGGAACTTCGAATGGCCTCGATCTCAGTAAAAATCCTGAATTGAACTGAGATTCCGTGCCGGGCTTGAAAGAAAAAATGGGCTCTCCTGCCTCCGCTCATGGCTTCTCTCTCTGCTATCCGCCGAGACTTAAAATATTCCCAAGTTTCCGAAGAGCCGGCTCTGATGAATAAGTTTTATTATTACGACAAAGACTAGGGCGAACGCCATGGTGACACAACAGCTGATTCCCCGGGTTCACGGAAGTCTTCTAGACTAGAGGATTCTTGGAACGCTTGAGCAACATATTCTTCCTCTGAAATTATTGTAGACTCTGGTGGGACTGGGAGCCCGCTTTGGGAAGCGCCAGGAGGGCAGATCCTCTGCTGTTGTCGTAGATATGAACCGGTGATGTTCTCGAGTCTTTATAATGGCGATATACTCTGAGCATTGTTCTACCGGATATCCCAGCCACCCAGGCGAGGTCTTGCGTGGTCCTTATCCTTTCGCTGATCTGGCGATAATAGGGACCTAGGAGGGCTCGGTTTCGCTCATCATGCTCGATCTGAAGTGTGTCACATCCGAACTTGAGCTTGAGTTCCTCCATTCTCGCGTAGGACCTTGTTGGCTGCCCTTCCAGGAGAATCATCTCCAACATCGCTTTGAGCCAGCGTGCTGCTGGCATGGATGCGATACGGGCGAAGTATTTGAGCTTGCTCTTGGCTTCTCTCGCTTCAAACGAGGATCAGTTGAGTTCGGCTTCGAGAAATTCGTTGGCAACCTTTCACCCTGGTATGCCAAGCGCCCAACGTGCGGCATTACGTTGCGAAATCTCCATCGCGTCACGCGTTGCCGCGGTCATCGATGTGACAGCGTTGGTGCAGGTGAGTTTGGGGACCACGACCGCTTTCCAGTAGGTCTTCGAAAGCTCAAATCTGTTAGAGCTCCACAGCAGTTGCGCTTGCAATCTGTGTAGTGTGTTTTTGGACGTCCTGGTCCACTCCTCCTCTTGTCTCTTGAGGTAGTTTGCACTATCACACAACAGAATGCCCAAGTATTTATATTCGTGCTCGTGTGGTATCACCTCCCGCTGTATTTCCAGCCCGGAGCAGTCACCCACAAGGTGACCTGAGAACACCACCATCGCACTCTTCTTCGGATTGAACTGGAGTCTCATTTCGTTTCCGAAATCAGTCGTTATCCGAAGCAGCTTCTGCATGTCCGTACGATTCTTCGCTATTAGTACCAGGTCATCGGCGAAGAGGAGTCCGGGCATACATGTACATTTTCTCTCTGCAACGTTCCAGAAGTCGCCCCGCTTCCTGATCTGGAAGCCTAGACCACTGTTGAGGAGGCGCCACTCTAGTTCAGAGATGTACAGGGAGAACAGTATGCTACTCAGCAGGCAGCCGCAGTTGGACTCGGCTTCATCATGGACAATCTTTACTTTGTTGTCCGTGTAGATGAGCTGAAGTAAGGATATCCACGAGTGGTCCATCCCTAACTTACCGAGTGCCTTCCACAATAACTCCCTGTCTATTTTATCGAAGGCTCGGGAGCAGTCGAGGAAACATGCGACCATGCCTGTTTTGTGTTTCCTCGACATCTCGATGGCTGATGTCAGCAGAAAAATGCTGTCGTCACCTCGCCTTCCGTTTCGGAAGCCATTCTGCATCTTTTAATACTTTAGAACTTCCTTATGCACCAATGTGCACAGATCCGCGTCCGACGGGCATGACTAGAGCCTCCTGTTTTCGCTTGCGTCCCCTCTTCCACTGACTCTCTATCATTATGTTCTCTCCTTCTGCACCTGCTTCCAACGAGCTTGAACTTTGGCAAACTCGGACGATTGCATAATGTCTTACGTCTCGATTCCACGCCCTCCTCACGACCTCGATCACTAGCACGCTGGGTGCCTACACTGTGGTTTCGCTCCGAGTTCGGAGTCATCATTGAAATAATGTATATGGGTATGTATATGTTGCTGTCCGATGCGAACTCATGGGATTTTTCCTAGCGTTCGTCTCTAGATTCTCCTCGCGATCTTCAAGGACTCTGAATCCATCGCTCGACCGACCGCTCTCATTCCCGTCGGCCCGCTCACCGAATAGCCAGGCGACCGAACTGATTATCTGTACATGTGCGACCCGCGACGGTTCACAGGGCATCGATGACGCGTGTGTCCCGGCCTCGGACCGTCGAAGGAGGACAAAGAGAACACAATCGACGTCCACCGTTAGTAAGAGCTTTTTTCTCGCCTCTTGCGCCGCGATTTTTGACTGCGACTCTCCTTCGAAGCGCGCTTCCGTTCAGCGGGAGCTTGCTTTTGATTCGTGGGTCCGAACGGCGCATAATCTGTAAGTTGATTAAGTTACTGTTATAGAATCGAACGATCGGGATCTCAGCCCAGACGGTGGGGGACGCCTGGGATAGACTTCGCTCGGATGACGGATCTAAAATGGTCCAGGAGTTTCTCTTGTCCACGTGTACCCCGTTCAAGAGAGTGTTCAAGCCGGTTTCACATCGCCCGGAATCAATCGATGATATTCAAATGCTCCCGGCGAAATGTAGAGGGTAGCAGGAGCGGACGGGTGCAGGCAGGCAACGGATTGGATCGCAAGCATGAATTGTTTATTTCACTCCGGAAATAATCTCCTTCACTATACTTTGACTGGTCACACTATTGAGTGGACTGCAGAATGCTGAATCGGTCTCCGTGTCGATATCATTGTTATCATCGATGACGGTCATCGTCAATTTGGCAACTCGGTCAGACGCCACCTTGATCATCACCAGCGAAGAAAGAAATCACGGATTAGTATGCGTCGAGTACTCCAAATCGACCATGAGCGATATCGGCGATAGTCAGAAAAATAGTTGTCAAGGTGAATTTCGCTTGCATCGACCCGAGTCTTGTACGTGTGATGATTTTTCTGAGAAACGGCACAACGGAAATAAACTCACTTTATCGAAAAGATGGTCATCGGTTTGAATGGCTGGACTCTCGAGGGTGAGAACCTCATCGTCATCCTTCATGGTTTCCTCTTCTTCATTCTCTCCTTCGGCCCGAGGTTTGATTCGCGGTTCTTGTGAACAATTAGTATTCTCATTTTGATGATCGGCCGGTCGATGATTTGCCGGCTGAGACTTCTGATTTTTTTTATCTTGATCCTGTTGCCGCGCTTGTTGGGCTGACGGCTGCTGATGAACAGGATTCTGCAAGAATTGCTGCTGCTCGAATCGCATCTCACGAGGCGCAAATTTACCTGATATCAACGGAACGTCCCCTGCCGCGATTTCAGCGAGTTTTTTACCGATGAACGCGCGACGTTTTCCCAGGCAAGCTGCACACGGTTCGATGCTTGTCAGCGCGGGGCCGCCTCTGAAGGTCTCACGAAGATACTCCCAGACCGACTGACTGAATAGTAAGAAATCCTCTTGAGTGACGCGATTCGCCATCAACGGATCCAATTTGCCGTGACAACAAACGAAGTCTTCGTTGTCAATCGGACCGGGTTCGGCAAACGTATTGAAGCGATTGACCCATCGTCGAGAAATGTAAAATGAGGGGCCGCCTCCATGTTCACATTGACTGCGATCGACTAGATCTGCTGTGTGCAATCGTCGCTTCAGCATCTCCTCGGAATATTTTCTGTGGGTTAAGAGACACTCACGTTAAGGATTCGATTTTCGCAATAGCTCACGAACATGCGACGATGCAATTGACTTCCCGATGTATGACTAACCGGTAGAAGAGAACGTAGGCCTCACAGTTAGCCACCGTGGAAGCCTCGACCTGCGTCACGTAAACGTCATCGTACTCGTACCATTGACCATCACAGTCATTCATGGCGTAACAGATATAGTGCCCCATGCCTGCAGTACCTTGAGAGCATTTTCGAGGTCAGTCATTGAATTAAGCTATCTGTTTTAGCTTGTGAGTTTGCATACATGGAAATGGAGCGGATATCGCGGAATATCCGACGATTTTTCAGGCGGGGCTCCGAGGGATTGCTCCCTAGAATGCACTCACCGTGGTGGCAAATGACGGCAGTTAGCTCGTAGGTGGTGACTTTGTCTCTCGCATGAGGATGGGTGAAAGGTGTCATGTCTAATCCTTCGAGCGGAAACTGGACATAACTCGAAATTTTGGTCGAAAACATCAGCTCGTGCCGGAAGCGTTTGAGATGAATACACAGCACTTCGGGCAGTTCCATCGGCTGAGAATATTCAATCAAGGTCATTTCTCCGATTGCCTCCTCACCCCTCCTATGCGATTACGGAGCAGTGACAGTGCCACGAGGGAGAGTAGCTGGAAATTCATGAAGGACGAACAAACCTTCGAGTATTTGACTCCATTCCGTAGCTTATTGCATTTTCCACAAGAGTACATATTGTCGCCTTCGAGCTCATCGGCCGAGAAGAAGGCGGCAAGACAGTCTGTCAGCGAGACCGACGGACCCCACACCCAAGAGTAAAGCTGAAAACGAAACCATCAACTACATCATATGCAAAATCAACATCGACCCCAGACTTGAAGGCGTATGGAGAGAATGTCGTCGAACATTGTTCTGGAAGATTCTGTACTCACCCATCTCAAAAGCCAATCCATCCAGCCCTGCTGACCTTGGGAACTCGCCAACGAATTTAGACTCGTTGAACTCGAAGTGAGATCGGCGTCGGACGGACCGTGATGTAGACGGTTCAGGTGGTATCTCGACGGGATGGGTAACGAAAGATCTTGGAAAACTTCTTCCGTCGACGAGACAGTCTCACACGTGAAACATTGCACGGATGACAGCATCCGGCCGTCGAACACATCGGAAATTATTGAACGGTATGATGGAGTCGGTCGCTTTAGATCTCCTCTGGGTACCGGGCTCGAGATGACTTTTTTTAGTTCTGGAAGGAGGTTCGATTCGTTGGTTAGAGGTCGATCATTTAGGGCAAAAATGAGAATCGATCAATTCCTCCCCTAGAACGATGTCGGCTGCAAAGCTTACCTCCGATGAGGAAGCTCCCGAGAGATGTTTCGAGCGACCGATGGTTATCGGCGGTCTTCTCAGAGGCTTCGCTCTTCTCCGAGCTCAATCCGGAATCACACGTCTCGTAAAGATCTTCCTTATTGTCGGGATTATTCGAATTAGCGGCGACTTCAGCATCATATGAGGCCTTGTCTTCGTCTTCTTCCTCTTCATTGGCTCGATGATGTTCCTCCGCGCCTTCTTCGTCTTCGTCCTGCTCTTTTTTCGGGAAAAACTCATTTTTGAGCTCGTCATGGAGCTGATCAAGGAAACACCGAAGGAACTCTTGTGCGTCTTGCTGAGTCGGGCCGCGGAACACCGGACACACGGAATTGATCCCGTACGCGACTCCCGAGGGCACGACACAGGGAGGCCGCTTTTCGTGCCACATCTGGAGGATCATTTTACTGTAACTCATGGCCAGATTGGCTCCCCGTCCATTATTTCTCAAAGGGAGATTTGGTGTATTTAAGAAGTACTCAGTCAACTGAGTGCAATTGGAGAGAGCTTGTAGCGCCGCGTTCATGTAGCACGTGTTCCCTAGATTTTGAAGACCTGCAAGCCCGAGGGGTCGTTCGTCTGCAACACCCGCGCTGTGAGCGACGTTCGGAGGGGCTCTTCTGAGGGGCGGCACGTTGTTCTCCAGAAACACTTCGCATTCGCATGTATGACACCTTGGATAGGGATTGGGGGAAGCGGCAATTAGATAAGACCATCGTTCTGTTTGTCGAGAGGGGTATGAAAATTTGAGAGCCCGTATGATAATGTGATTCTTCAAATCGGCTCGTATTTAGGTTTTTTGTTTACCAGGTTCTGAATGTTTTCAAGTTGATCATAAGCGAATGCTCCTGATTTTTGGTGAAGTGTTTTGCGGAATGATCGGCCTTCTTTTCTCCGCAACCGACGTATCCACATTCTCTGTAGAGGCAACACCAGAGCCCGGCCTCTCTCTCCCCACACGCTTCACAACTGTAGGCTATGCTCCGATTGCAAATCTCTTCGTGAGACCAATCGCCCATAGTTATGACGTGGGAGCACGACGACCTCGTCATTTTGCTGACGTACAATCGCGCCGCGGCGCTTCACGACCAGATTATAGGAAACCGCGCGCCCGAAGGCAAAGCCCTGGAAACGAGAGCGAATTATCGAAATGCCATATCTGTGACTTACAAATATTCTCTCAGGTTCTAGACCAGCTGCATCGGTACGGAAATCGAAAGCGGCAAAGTAGAATGCTGGCTCAACAGAAGTAACTTCAAGCAATGCGGTGGCTCTCTTTTGTTGTCGGGGAAAACAGACAAGGAAGGCTACTGACATGGCGTTTTTCGGCCTCCGTCTTCGGAACCAGTATCGAACACCAGCCGACGGTGCTCGACGGCTCAGCGGACGACCAAGGTCTCTTCAGTATGTAATGACACACATGCCATCGAAGCCAGTCATGTAGGAAGAAAACTACTCCGATCTATAGACGACTTATCTGTCAGGCAGGCATCGAGGGGTTTGACCCCGTGCGCTGCACATTTTTCCTCTCCTCCCAAGCGCAAGGAAGCCCACGGCGCGCAATTCACGGCATTTTCCGCACCGAGTCCTCACGACTGTTTCGAAGTCTCCAGTATCTTCCGATGAAGAGCCCGATGTGCTGCGGTCAGGCTCAAAGTCTCGCGCTCAACTTCCGACGCCAGAAGAATCCACATGCCGAGATCGGATTGGAGCGAGCGAGATTCCCCCTTGTCTTTTTCCGACTTCTCGAGGGAAACGACGAGACCGATTGTGAGACGCTCTTCCGCGCCGATACCACGTTGCATCGTTCACAACTTCAAAGTTCGATTCTCCACTCATTCTAGCAGAAGAGTCTGCAACTGACATGAGCAATCGACGGCGTCCCTTCGTCTATGTTCTGCCGATTGACGCCGTAATAGTACCCGAACTGATCCTTGATGGCTTTCAATTGTTCCATCCGTCATGATGCTTCACGGAAACGAGTCAACGCCGCACATCTTCTGTTGGACCGATCTCTTCTCCAACAAACTGAATCGAAATGGAAGCGATTTTGGCTTGCTCGATGATTCGACGGTCTATTTTCCCCCAAGCCTTGCTTCGGTGAGCTCACGAGTAGCTACGCTAATAACGCATAACAGCGCCGAAGGTCGGACCGAGGAGCTACTGACTGACCAGGAGCTGGATTACGGGGAAGCTGGAATTCTCCAGAGCTGGCATAGCGGCATGTGTGTACGTCAAAGGATGGATCGGAACTGAATCACGGAACAGACAAAGTTTTCAAGGCGAGGAACTATCGAGCCGCACAGCTTGTCACCGATCGAAATATGTCTTGCAGTCTGCAGGTGCAACGCTACAGTTCACGGACCCCGCAGGAAGCTCCATCGAGTTGAATGAGAGCATGCCCCCTGCTGATCTGCCTCGAGCCTCCATAACACGCATCCAGTGGACATGAAGACGAGCAGACACGGCTCTCGGGTGTCTCGAGGGGAAGCAGTTTCGGTTTCATTCGCTCGGCTGCTCTGACAAGTTCTGACCGTAGAAGAATTGAACTGACACACGGAGCTAGTCTCTGGTCGAAACTACACCACAGAGAAAGGAAGAATCGACTTCAAGCAGCCTCTCTTCGGGCTGAATGATTATTCCCGCGCCCCGCGAGACCGTGTCACCCACAGTGAGCCCATGCTCTCCGAGGACCCGGAGGTCTCGATCGACTGCCGGGAGGGGATCGATGGAATTCGTTCTCGCTCACTCTGTCTTCCAACTCTCCGAAATTCTATCGAACGGCGCAGATATTCCACCAGTCGATTCCCGACCGCGGATTTTTGAGCACAACGAATGGATGACATTCGAAACAACAGTGAGGAATTTTGCAACGTAGCGTAATGACCACAGCTCGGAAGCGCTAGCGAGTTTTCCCGTAGCTGACCGTGGAACGACCTGCCTCGGCTCGCGAAGCCTCAGGTGGAGGGGACCCCGGCGATTTTGAGAGGAAACGAGTCTCACAACGCAACTTGGTGCTCGATGGCCTGGAATCCGACGAGGCGCCGAGCAAGTTTCACTGCCTATCACGTTCTACAATACGCGTACTCGACGAGCGAGCGACGCAATTTGACGGCGAAAGCTCAGGCTAATGACTCACCTATGGGGGGCAAACACTAGTGGTCGGATTAGGTCGGAAACTAGCCTTCACTAACGATGGGTCGGCGAAGATTTATCCTTCTTCAAGTCAGCCATGACACCATCAGTGATGGTGTTCTGGAAAATGGGAAAATCATAATCAAACCTATGATTATGATTAAAATCATAGTCAAAATCACAAATATCTGAAAATCATGAGTAAGATTATGATGAGAGTCATAATCATAATCACAGCAATCCTGTGATTCTGCCGTAATCATACCCGTAATCACAGGATTTACGTCAAGATACGGGTTTTGAGGATGATAGGTATGTATACTCGACAGGGGTCTCCGGGAACGCTCATCGCGACGTCGTTCGTTCTCTTCATCGTCACGACCACGGCGACCGGCTACTACTGCATACATGGCTGTTGGCTCAGGTCTCTGGTTACGGTGAGACCTGGCTTCAGAGATGAGTCGCGATTGCTCATTCTCAATGAGCTTCTAAAGGTTGCTCAGAGTTTGAGAATCTTTCGGATTCACGCTCTGAGACTGCTTGAAACTCTGCCATGATGTGGGAAGTGCCTCAAGGAGTCGAGCGATCAACATTGTCTGATTTAGGGTCCCTCCAAGAGAAATAACATCTTGTTGCAATTTGCGGAAGGCATTAATATTACTGACTGGGCTTTCAGACGGATCGAACTTGAACTGGAAAAGCTTTCCTATAGCATTATTCAATCTGGTTACGTTCTGGGTTTCGAATCGCTCCAGAATTACAATATAGACACCTGCTGCGGTCATGCCTGAGACATCGACATTGAAGTTGAGCAGAAGGAGATTTAGATCGATTGAATTGAGGAGAATTCCTCTGGCTATGGTGTTAGCTCTTTCAAAACGTTTGTCAGCCAGAGGTATTCTGCCACTGACAACGTCCCAGCAATTTTCTTCATTGGCTAGGAGAACATTGATGACTCTTCCCCAGGCATTATAATTCTTGCCGTTTGAATCTAATCGGAAAGTTGAATAATAGAATTCTGAAGTTTGGAAGCTGGACTGGTTGTTACGGAATCTTCAGACAGAGAAATTGTGATAATTGGACTAGGTGATGAGAATAGATCAAGAATATCTGGGGAGTTTGTTCTACTAAGAATTGCGAATCCTTCGCTTTCGACCGAATCGTTCATGGACTACTGACTGCAATGAAAGCTGGTCTCTGGTCTTACACTACCGCTACTCACCGAACGTAGTTGTGATTCAATCTTTTTGAATGTTGAATCTTATAAAACTTCTGTTTTGTAGAGCTAAAAGTGCTGATTACGTGTTGAGCCTGGAAATGTCTATCGCAGGCTCTAAGGGAACTTGGCTCGGAACTAGCTCAGGGGCTTCGATCACGCAGTAAGACGCAGAGTAGCCGCTCGGGGATTCAGTTATAGTGTTCGTCATTCATTTCTATCTAGGCGCTGCTATCTAGATCCAGTACAAAGGGTGAGAGCTATCCTCCGAGAGGATGCTTTAATACCTAGGGTGATCTACTTAGGGTTCAACCCCCTTAGACAGACGAAGGAGTTCAGATCGGACTTGATTGATTGATGGTTCCGGAGCCCTCTTCGTCTAGCTGAGGGTCGGGGTTCTGGAATCGAAAGCTCACCGCACCCGATGCACGAGTGGGGTGAACCCCGGAATCGGTTCTCTAAGCTAAGGGGCTCAGAGCCTCACTATCTAAATGGAATCCCTATTTCTAACAACTATAATCGTATTCATAGTCATAGTCATAGCTATGATCATAGACGAAGTCATACGACGCCGACGGAGCAAAAGAAAAGTGACTTGGGAGCCGCTCAGGGTTTATCAGAATTTGTCGAAGACAACGATCTCAGCACAATAAACGAATGACGAAGTGTAGATCAGAAGATCGGAGAAAGCATGACGCGGGAACAATTTCGAAAGGCGAGGGTAAAGAGAGGATACATCGGGCAAAAACAGAGGAGAAGCAGAAGAGATAGGTTGATATGAATACGAAATACGAGGAGCCTCAACAGAGGATACGTAAGGGTAACTGCGAGTGCGAGTACCAATGTGGAGTACAAAAATAGTTGAAAGAATACGAATGAATACGAGAGCCGCCTTCTCACCCGCGTCGCACTGGACATCGAAGAGAGGCTTAAAGCGCTTCTGCACGCTGCGGAGCAGCCCTTGTGCAAGGGGACGGCACGCGCGAGTGGTTGTTTGACTGACGGCGGTGAGTTGCTTCTGCACGATGAAGAGCGTCGGTAGCAACGTCCCGTAGAAGGCCGTTTCGTCTCCCTGAAGCTTGTCCAAGGTCACGGCGATTGGTTTCGCGCAGGCAAGGTACTCTTGCATGTATGAGGAGTCATCGGCAGTGAAACGAGTGTCAAGCTGGAGCCCTTCCATCAAGTCCGGCATTAGAGTCTGGAGACTGGAAATCGCGCTCAATGAATCGTATAAGGAGTTCCATCTCGTGGCTGCCGGCCGCGGCAAGCATCTCCCCGTCACTCTTTAGATGACTTCAGCAGACTTCGACAATCGCGATAGTGCCCAGGGGGAGTTGCATTTCCCGAGAACCCGCTTGTGGCGAGCGCCGCGTGAGTCATCAGAATTTTCTTCACATCCGTGGTTGCGCAGAGGAATAGGGTGTGAGCAGCACAGCGCGCATGCGACGGGAGCTGGATCAGAGCGGTATCTTCGAGTGCTTCCCACGTGGCGATCTCTTCGCTGTCAGCGTCAGCGTCCTCGTCCTCAGTCGCCTCAGGTTCGGCATGTTGTGAGTTCCTGGTTGCGTCCTCCGATGACAGTGGAAATTCATCAGCATCGCCGCCGAATTCGTTCGTCTCATGGTCCGCGTCCGCGTTGTCACCGCCGTCCTGCCCCTGGCCCTGGAATACAGAACATATGGGACAGTGGGACAAACATTA